GGCCGGCGCGCTGGCTCGAAGCCTGGTTAATTCCCGGCCTGTTGGTGGAGGCTGAGGGCAGGAGGTTACCTGGGGTTCTAGTGATGTTCGGAGGGACCTGGGGAGCGCTGGCCCAACAGGTGGAAGACGTCGTCTCTATCCTGAAGAGAAGACGAGAACAAGTTCACGCTGGGCGTGGGTCGGCCAGGCGCCTGTATGTACGCTGCTCAGGAGGCTGAAGGCAGCGAGAAGTCGCTTGAACCGGCGCGCAGGGAGGGCGGGGTCGGCGTGAGGCCAACACGAGCCGTGCGCACCTCGCACGCAGAGCCTGGGGGAGCCGAAGAGTGAGACCTGCCATTCTCACGAAAACAAAATAGGAGTATAAGAGGAGGGGCTGTGCCGGACCGCGGTGGCGTCAAGCTTGTTATCCAGCACTGTTGGTGAGGGGGCCGGGAGAGCGGGGCGGATCACGAGGTCCAGGAGCATCCCGAGAGCGCGCACTCCTGCGGCTAACTGGGTGTGAAACCGCCGCTCTACCGAAAAGTACCAAAAAAACTAGCCGGGCGTCCGGCTGCGGGCGCCTGTAATGCCCCAGCGTACGTCGGGAAGCTGGAGGGCAGGAGGAATGGCATTAAACCGCAGGAGCGGAGAGGCTGCAGTGAGCGTGACGACAGGGGGGGCGCCACTGCACTCCCAGCCTGGGCGAGGAGAGCGGACCAGCCGTCTCAAAAAAAAAAAAAAAAAAGAAGAGAGAAGGCCGAGCGTGGTGCTCAACTATAATCTCAGCACTTTGGGAGGCTGAGATGGGTGGATCACCTGAGGTCAGGAGTTGGAGACCAGCCTGGCCAACATGGTGAAACCCTGTCTCTACTAAAAATACAAAAAATTAGCTGGGCATTGTGGTGGGCGTCTGTAATCCCAGGAGAACTGCTTGAACCGGGAGGCGGAGGTTGCAGCGAGCCGAGATCCCACCATTGCACTCCAGCCTGGGCGACAAGAGTGAAACTCCATCTCAAAACAAAAAAAGGAAGAGAAGGTGGCAACTGATCTGTCAGCCATTTCACAGGCTGGTTAAGCCAAAGAGAAATAAAAAATAATAAAATGATTCCCCATCCTGGCCCCTGCCAAACAAGAACCAACCATGCACCCAACCTACTTGAAAATAACCAACAGTCCTAGGCAATCCTTGGCTAAGAGGAAACTGAAAGGGAAGCTACCAACCGCCAGCAAGCAGTGAAGAGGGAACGTGCACCCTCAAAATGACAGACGTGGCTCCAGAAGCAGACATGGATTAAAGTGAAGAAGGAGGAAAAGCACCATGAAGAAGCAAAGACAGAGAGTGAAAACAATTCCACAGGAAGTGAAAACAGACAAACCCTTCAAAGACCATTAAGGGATCGAGGAACAGAAAGTGTGATTAGGAAAGAGAAAAAAAAAAAGAGGTGAGCACAGAGAGGCCAAGAGAACATCAGCTTCATGGGAACAAGTACCCATTAACCCTGAAATGAAAGCCCCAAGGAAGTGGCACGAACGGCTGCCAGCTGCCTTTGGCCGGCTGTTCACCACAGCTGACGCCAGTGTGATTTTTTTTTCCAGACAGGGTTTCACTGCTGCCCGGGATAGAGTGCAGTGGTGCGATCCCAGCTCACTGCAGCTTTGACTTCCCGGGCTCAGAGGATCCCCCACCTCACCCTCCCAAGTAGCTGGGACTACAGGCACACACCACCATGCCCCACTAATTTTTTTAATTTTTTGTAGAGATGGGGTTTTGCCATGTTGCCCAGGCTCATCTCAAATTCCTGGGCTCAGGCAATCCACCTACCTCAGCCTCGCCAAGTGTGAGCCACCACGCCCGGCCACCCCTGTGATTTTAACCATTCCAGGCTACAAAGCCACAGCCAGCTCTGCTCACAACATGCAGGGGCCACACTTGTCACAGCAAAACCTGCTGGAGCCAGTCCACACAACTGAGACCACGTGTGACAAGACAGTGAGCCGGTGGAAGGCCACAGCAAAGCCACGAGAGGCCAGGGTTCACCCCAGAATGCCACGCAGACACCCATGCACTCTAGCCTTGTAGTGGCCACATCCACAAATCCCAGGAGGACCAGAAAAGCACAGAATCATCGTAACAGATGCTAAGAAAGAAACCTCTAGAAACTCAGCCACCCTCCTAAAAAAACAGCCCAACAACAAATGTTCTGAGAAGGCAAAACAGCGATTCCTGTGGAGCAAAGCAAGACGCCCACTTCCTCCTCCCCATCAGGCCCACAGTGACATGACGGTGACAGGACTGATGAGCACACCAGGGTGGCAGAGAGGCGGCCAGCTTTTGATGATAAGCGTGACTATCTAGAAAACCCAAAAGACTCTTAAACCCTTTTTTAATTATAAGAGAATGTGATAAAGTGGCTAGATATAAAATGAACAGGAGTTTTTCTCTCCATGAGCAATGATCCCCAAAAGTTGGAAAAAAAGTCCATTTACAAAAGTATCACAAATTAGGCCGGGCGCGGTGGCTCAAGCCTGTAATCCCAGCACTTTGGGAGGCCGAGGCGGGTGGATCACGAGGTCAGGAGATCGAGACTGTCCTGGCTAACATGGTGAAACCCCGTCTCTACTAAAAATACAAAAAACTAGCCGGGCGTGGTGGCGGGCGCCTGTAGTCTCAGCTACTCGGGAGGCTGAGGCGGGAGAATGGCGTGAACCCGGGAGGCGGAGCTTGCAGTGAGCCGAGATCACGCCACTGCACTCCAGCCTGGGAGGCACAGCGAGACTCCGTCTCAAAAAAAAAAAAAAAAAAAAAAACCAAAAGTATCACAAATTATAAAAAGTCCTTAAGAAGTTGCTTTATCCAGAAAGTCACCGGACCCACGTGAAGAAAATGATTGAAAGACTAAAACATAAAGTCAGGCCACTGTCTGGGGTGGCAGGTGGATGGAAAGGGCACCTCTGTTCTTCCACAATACAGGCATCTGGCCCCCACAGCCCTGCTGGCCCCACATCCCCTGCCGCCTGCCACCAGCCTGCACACTGCTCCCCACATGCACCAGGGCCACGCATTCCCCAGACCTCCTGTGTCTCTCCAGGCGCCTCTCCCTGTCCAGCCCATGCCCTGCACAATCCCTCCCACACGCTACTCCAGCACGCTGACCTCCCCCAGCACTGCCTGGCCACAGGCACCCACACGAACGCCTGGTCCCTATCAAGAGGCCCTTCTGGACCTCCAGTAATTCATGACTTCTGGTCTCTCGAGGACAAACCGGGCGCGGGCAGCTCTCCCTGCTGACTCACTCTGGGGGCCCCCCTTTTGAACACAGGTGCACATGCTTGGCCTAGGTGTGCCGTACACTGTCTGGGTTTGATTCAGAACCAGCACGCCCTTCAGGGAGGGCCAAGAGGGAGAACCTGCAGGGAGTGCTGGCTCACCTCCCAGGCCACCCCAGCCAGCCCGGCTGACTCACAATTGAGATTTGTTGCTGTTGGGCCCTGAGTTGGCCATGCTGAGGATGCCGCGGCCCGTGTGAGAGAGGTTGGGCCGGAACTCATCTTTGAAGGGCTTCCCCCAGTACGACTCCCCGCCTGGAAGAGAAAGGCCCACAGAAGCAGGAAAGCTTGGGCCCCAGCCGAGGCAGAACCAGAAACCTCAGAGTCCCGAGGGGCATCAGGGCCTTGCTGAGCCCAGCCTGGGGAAGGGGCACTTGATAGGGTGGCCCCCGGCCCCATGTCACCAACTCCTGGGTCCTTTGGAGCCCCCACGCCTCCACACAGGCAGGCTACTGCCCACTCACCCCAGCCCTGCCTGGGGCCTGCCCCAGGACAGGGATTAAAGAGTCAAGACCGCCATCATTATCACTCAAGCTATGGGAATACGGAGTGGCAGGGCCTGGACCCAAGCAGCTGTCAGGCTGACGGGCTTGGAGAGGCTGCAGGAGGGAGGGCTGGCCGTGGTCTGAGGCAGACCCCAGGGGCCCAGGGAAGAGACCACACACTCCTGCCTCCTCTACCATGCAGGCCTCACAGCCACCTGGAAATGAGAAAACTGAGGGCCAGGCCTGAGCGGGCACAGCACTGATGGCTGCCAGTCGTTCCACCCTGGTCTAACAGATTCCACATCTGAGCTCTGCACAGCCCCTGCCCAGCTACTCCCTCATGCCCCAAGGAGCAGCCAAGGTGCCCAGAGAGGGGCCCAGTACCAGTACCTACCCATGCCTGTGCCTGTGGGGTCACCCCCTTGGATCTGTGAAAACAAAAGCCAGTGAGCAAGTCACACTCTGAGAGCTGAGGCCCACTGCCTGCCTGACTGAAGGAGACCCCTCCTGCTAGATGGCTCCATACGGGGGCTGGGCTCTTGGTGATGATGAGGGGCCCTCCCAGCCACCTCCCTGTGTGAACCCAGTGCTGGATGGGCTGGGGCCTCAAGGGTCAGCCTATGGGTTCCCCAACAGAAGATCACCGACTGGACTCATCCTGGCCACCGTGGCATGGGCCAGGGCCCTGGAACGGGGCAGGGACAAGCCCACCCAGCCCCCGATGTCCCACCAAGCTCATCTGTGTAGCCAGTGACTCGCATCACTCACCACAAAGTTCCGGATGGATCTGTGGAAGATGGTGCCGTTGTAATAATGCTTCTTGCAAAGCCTGATGAAGTTTTCGCAGGTTTTTGGTGTCTGCAACATAGCCCCGATACTTGTATCAGGCAGAGAGCTGCCAAAGGCAGCTCACCACAGCCACAGGAGGCCTTTTTTTATTTTTTTTGAGATGCAGTCTTGCTGTTGCCCAGGCTGGAGTGCCGTGGCACGATCTCGGCTCACTGCAACCTCCGCCTCCTAGGTTCAAGACATTCTCCTGCCTCAGCCTCCCAAGTAGCCAGGACTACAGGGGTGCACCACCACACCTGGCTAATTTTTGTAGTTTTAGTAGAGACGGGGTTTCCCCATGTTGGCCAGGCTGGTCTTTAATATGTAGCCGAGTCAGCTGCCCGTCCACACTGGCAAGGATAGACCCACAACAGCAACCAACAGGCCCCATGCAGCCGCATGGCCCAGAGCAGAGCGCATGGGAGAAGTGTGGGCAGAGCAGCAGGTGCGGCCTGGCCCCTTCTCTGAAACACTGGCACCTGTGTGCAGACCATGCTGCCAACACGGTCCCCTAGGAAGGACACAGGGCACTGCTGCGGGTCCCGCCTACTGACAGGCTGAATTTCCTACAACAAGCACATACCAGTCACAGCCCTATAGTTAAGACATGGCTGTCAAATGACCCCAGAAATGACCTTGGGACATGGGGAGGGGCCGGCCTTCACACCCACCAGGTCGCAGTGCAGCTCCAGGTTGAGGTCGCCCTTGTTGGTGTGCAGTCGCACGTAGCCCTTCTTCTTCACAAACTGGTAGCGGAGCACATCCTCGTCGATGGCAGCTACAAGCAGAGGTCCCAGCTCGGCCCCTGCCCTTACCCTGGGGCAGCCCCACTGTGCCAGGCAGCACCGGCCTCAGACACACAGGCGGGGACTAGGCTCCAGCTCTGGGGAGAGCAGGGGAACCGGAGGCTGAGGGTCTGCTCAGGCCATGCACCAGCCTCATGGGGCTGGCAGGGGTTCAGCAGCTAAGAGGGGGAGGACTAGGGGCTCAGGTGACAGTGGGAGCCCCTGACAGGCCAAGAAAGTGGGAGTTGGGGAGCACACCCACCCCCGGCCCCCAGCCACTTTCAGGTCACGTGGCAGGTGGCTACAGAGGCAAAGGTGGCTACCTGCTTCATGTGTGGTCTCCGGGACCATCGCAGTGGAGGTGAAGGAAGCGCTGACCTTCCCTGTGGAATAGTGGGCCTGCCAAGGAAACCAGGATGGCACCTCAGCAGTGCCATGGGAGGCAGGTGGGCAGGGATGTGTCACTTGCCTAGAAACCAACCACATACCACCCCTGCCCCCCAGGCCCTGCTTGGTGCCTCTCCTCCAGGAGGGCCTCCCGACCAGCAGGAGGAAGAAGCCAAGGCCAGGCCAAGCCAGGGGCCCCTGGCCTCAACTGGGTCCCGACTCTTACGATATCAGCTGAAACCCTGGAGATAAAATACCACACAGGACTGGCCACCTCAGGGTTAGGAGTATATGGCTGACTTTCCATTTATTTTTATTTTAATTTTTTTTATCAGACAAGGTCTTGATCTATACCCAGGCTGGAGTGCAGTGGTGCAATCCTGGTGCACTGTAGCCTCCAACTCCTGGGCTCAAGTGACCCCCCGACCTCAGCCTCCTGAGCAGCTGGGACAACAGGCACCTGCCACCACACCTGGCTGATTTTTTGTAGAGATAAGGTCTCACTATGTTGTCCAACCTAGTCTTGAACTCCTGGCCTCAGGCAATCCTCCTGCCTCAGCCTCCCAAAATGCTGGGATTACAGGTGTGAGCCACCACGCCTGGCCTCATTTCTTTTTTTTAAAGTTTCAAATTTTCTACACTAAACACATTACATATTTAATCAGGGGTCGGGGGAAAGCCCCAATAAATGTTATTTTTTATCATAGAGGAAGAAAAGGGGTTTCTCCCATCAGAAGAAAATACAAGCCAGGCATAGTGGCTCACACCTGTTAATCCAGCACTTTTGGAGGCCACGGCAGGAGGATCTCACTTGAAGCCAGGAATTCAAGACCAGCTTAGACAACACGGCAAGATCCTGTCTCAAAAAAAAAAAAAAAAGTATACCAAAGTGCTAAGGGCAGCGTGTCAGCGTGTCAGAGGGGTGACCATGGACAACAAACTTGCTTTTTAAATTTTTCCAGAATTTGAATAATTCTTTAAGGAGAACTTCAGTGATACCTGCCCATGTCTCTGCACTCCCCCTAGCTCCAGATCCCCACACTCTGCCTGAACAGGAGGAAGAAGCAAACACAGCAGCCCCAGACAGGCAGCTCTGTGCGGTCCCAGGCACGCCATCCACCTCAGCACCACAGCAGACTCTGAAACGCCCCAACTCTCCCTGGCATGGCTTTGGGCCCCAGTGCACATCGGGCCCTGCCCTCCCAGCCACCACAGAACCACACATGCCCACTCCACGTGCCTGCCCTGGCCACTGAGCTCAGGCTGGGACCACAGCACAAGGCAGACCTTCTGCGGAGGGGTCTCCTCCCCTGCATGCCCCCACACACCCCTTGGTTCTTCAACGACCAGTGTGGACGTCAGCCCCTCCCCTTCCGCCTTCTCAGATTCTGTCTACCTCAGGGCAGCCCCAGGGCTGTGTGCTCAGAGCAATCAGGGGCACCACAGCTCTGGGGGATCCTGGCTGCCTCCCTGCCGTGTAACCCCAGACCCCCATGAACCCCTTTCCCAGGACCACTCCAAGAGGCCATAAGATAGGCAGGGAGACGGGGCTCGGCCGAGTGCCCTCCACCACTCACAGCGTTCAGCTTGTCCACTTTCTTCTTCTCTGGGGCCTTCATGGTGGCTGCCAGAACCTCATCCCCTTTGAACTCCTTGTAGAGCTCCTGCAGGGTCTCTCGGGTCTCGGCATTTGTATTTTTCAGATAGTAAGACGGGTCCTGTTTGGCCTTCTCTTCATCTACAAAACAGTAGCATGGCCCTGAGCAGCCGAGCCCCCAGTATCCTCCCCACACACACGTGCTGGGGAAACAGATCTAGAATAGGCCAGGGCTGTCCAGCCATGGCATGGGCCCCATGCCACTGCCAGCCACAGAATGCCACAGTGCCCAGCTACAGGCCTGAAGGTCTCCCCAGGCAGTTCACAAGGGTCTCAGGATGGACTTCATGTTGTAGTTTCCTGCGTATTCTAATCTTTTTACTGTATACACTGTGCTTTTTTTTTTTTTTTTTTTTTTTTTGAGACAGGGTCTAGCTCTGTCACCCCAGCTGGAAAGCAGTTGCAAGATCTCAGCTCACTGTAGCCTCCACGTCCTGGGCTCAATCGATTCTCCTGCCTAAACCCCCCGAGTAGCTGGGGCTACAGGTGCGCGCCAATCACACCCAGCTAATTTTTCTATTTTTTGTGGAGACAGGGTGTCCCCATGTTGCCCAGGCTGGTCTTGAACTCTTCAGCTCAAGCAATCCACCTGCCTTAGCCTCCCAAAGTGCTGGGATTACAGGTGTAAGCCACTGCGCCCAGCCCCTTTGCTTCCGTAATTTTAAAGGTTTTTACTTAATAGAAGTGTGTGGGGGTCTTTTCGGATGTGAAATCCCCCATTCTTGCCAACTCAGGAGGGCGCCTGCTGCCTACTGGTCCTTGGACAGCAGTCCACTCTGTGGAGAGGGACGGGCATCCCCGTGCAGAGAGCACAGACACAGCCCAGCCCCAACCCTGGCCTCAGGCTCTCCTGACTCAAATCTCCCCTAGTCATGTGCTCAGCCTCCCTAAAACCCAGTTTATACAACGCTCACGAAGTGCCCAGGCCACTGCTCTGCAGCACGAGGCTGAGTGGCCTCTGAGCATGAGTCCTGCTGGCTCCTCCAAGGCTGCAGGACAGCCACCAGCGGCCAGGAAAACAGGAGGACCCCGTCACCCCATCACCTGCCCAATGACAGCACCGGCCAGTCTGCAGGGAGCAGGGGAACCTGAGCAGGTGTCCTGGCAGGGCAGCAAGTCCATCCCGCCCGTTGTTTCTGAGGCTGCAGCTGGCTCGGATTCTCTGAACACTGGTTCAGAAAATGCAGGGCCTGTCTAGGCTGGGACCCTCTGACCTCCAGGAAAGGGAGGATTTTACCCAGGGAGCACTGTCCCAATTTCACCCAAATGCCCCCTCGCCTAGCCCAGTCCCTAGTTGTACATACCTGGGTCTATTATTTTCATGTTATTCTTCACATGATAGAAGTTAGAAACATTGAACTTGTCCAAATTGGTGGGGTCCTGTGGCAAAAAGAGAATGCCCAGCAGAGTGAACCCAGCCTGCGGCCAAATGGCAGCCACATGCAGCAAAGCTCGGCCAGCTGTCAGAGGTGGGGAAGAGGCCAGGCCTACACTGAGGTGGGGGGAGTCAAGCAGGGCATGGCAGAGGAGGTGGTCTGCCCCAGGCAGGGCAGCAAGCAGGGGCAGGGACGGGGACACGGCCTCGCTAGCTGCTGGCCGAGCTGCGACCTTCCTCCAGGCACATGGTTAACGAGCATTCATCGCTGTTAGGGAGATCTCGGACAGGAACGTGGGCAGCCACGGGCCAACCTCTGGTTAGAATGGGACAAGCCACAGAGGTGACTGACTCAGCAGGCCACGCTCCAGCCAGCACCTGCTTTTCTAAGTCAGTGTTTTTCGTTAATTCACTTGGAGTTCTCTGACACCTGCAGGGAGCCCTGTGCCAGACCCCGAGGCCCAGAGCTCACACCAGCTCCCGCCGTCGAGGCGCTGAAGCAGAGCCTGGCCTGCAGAGTGGCCATTCAGATGCCTTAGGAGGCTCTGAGGACAGATATGAGGGACCCTGACATGGGGGTGGGGGATCGGGGAGGAGATGTAAGAGCTAGACTGAGGCGGCGGCCCCGTAGAGGCCTGGGCTGGCTGCAGGGGCTGAAGGCAGCTGGGGCAGGCGGGCAGGCGACACTCACCTGGAGGGTGATAATGTCCTGCCGGGAGAAGGGCTCATCAGTCAGCAGGTCCCGGAAGTTCTTGGCTTTGATATTTAGCTGTTCCACTGCCTATAGCCAGGAGGAAGTGGTTTTACAATGCCTGCCCCAAGCCTTGGCACAGGGGACTGCAAGCAGGGAGGCCTGGAGCTGGCCCCGACCGTGGCATGATTTGAGAGGCATGAGGAATGAGAGAGACAGCAGTGTACACCCCACTGGCTGAAAGCAGAGGCTCCCACAAAGGCGGAGCTGGCTGGGCCTCAGACGATGAGCCAGTTCAGCCTCGCAGCAACCTTCCTGCAGGAAGCTCCTGTCTGCACACTGATCAGCAAAAAGGCCCAGCGAGCCACCCACCCACTCACTACAGCCTTCACCGAGCTCCTCCTGTGCACAGGCGCAGCGCCAAGCCCCCGTGGGCAGGGGCTGTGCACATGAGATGCCTGCACTCCTGAGGTACGTTCTAGCAGAGTCCTCGCTCCACTGACGAGGACTGACCATGCCAGTTTGTGCAGGCTTCTGGCAAGAAGTGGCCCCCAAGACCCCTGGAGCAGCACTGGCCACCTACACCCCACAAACGTCCAGGTGCAGGATTGAAAACGGCACAAAGGTCGGCTTTCCTGCCATGTGGGGCCTGCCCCACCTCGCCCCTGAGAGGAGGACCCATGTGTGAACATGGCTGCCTCCTCTCTCCCTACACCCACTCCCAGCCAGAACTCCTCCAGGAGACAGCTCCCTCCCGGGGACAAGTGGCTCCATGCAGAGCCGGGGCCAGCACTCCCCTCTCAACCCTAAAGGCCTGTCCTCAGAACACGGGTGCCTTCCCAGCACGTGAGCTTTGCTGAAGACGCAGGAGGACCCCCTGGGGTTTAAGGGTCCCTGCTGGGCAGCCAGGACTGCCTGGATTCCGAAGGATGCACCTCCCCCAACCCTTTTTTTGACCTGCCTGAAAATGGGGAGGCTGGGCTGGGCGCGGTGGCTCAAGCCTGTAATCCCAGCACTTTGGGAGGCCGAGACGGGCGGATCACGAGGTCAGGAGATCGAGACCATCCTGGCGAACACGGTGAAACCCCGTCTCTACTAAAAAATACAAAAAACTAGCCGGGCGAGGCGGCGGGCGCCTGTAGTCCCAGCTACTCGGGAGGCTGAGGCAGGAGAATGGAGTAAACCCGGGGGGGCGGAGCTTGCAGTGAGCTGAGATCCGGCCACTGCACTCCAGCCCGGGCGACAGAGCCAGACTCTGTCTCAAAAAAAAAAAAAAAAAAAAGGGGGAGGCTGTACTGCCAGAGCTTTGGCAGATGACCATGCCTGTGGCTGTGACTAAACCCCACAAGGACAGGCCGTGCCCATAGCACACAGCCCAGCCAGTGTATCCTGGGAACACACAGCAGAGATCTCCCCACCGCTGTCTCCAGGCCCTGGAGCGAGGACACACCTCATAGGCGTAGACGTTGCCGGTCGTCCTCACAGCCACGATGTGGGTGTTGTTGGTGAATACGGTAAACAGCACCGGGCAGTGGTACTTCCCTAGAGAGAAGGCACACACAGGAAGGTCAGTCACCTCTGCGGACTGTGAACATCCCAATGAGGACCGCGGGGGGCCAGAGCAGGGCAGAACTCAGCCAAAGTCAGCAATGGGAGGCGGTGGAACCCCATGTCAGCGGCCAGAGCAGGGAACCATGGGGACAGCTGCTCACCCCCTCAAACCCCTCCATACCATTAGGAAACTCCTATTCATCCTGCAAGACCCAACCCCTGCATCTTCCTCAGATCCTCCAGCCCACCCCTGGGTGAGCACCATGCTAGCCTCCTCCTCCTACTGAAGTTGGCCCTCAGCAGGAAACAACCCATGCTCTAGCCCTGACAGCTCTACCTCTCACCGACGTCCCCCGCCGGCCCCCGGTCAGCTCTTCCTTCACAACCGCCCATCCCCTTGCCCGCTTACTATCTTTTTTTTGTTTTGCTCTGTTTCTTTTTTTTTTTTTTTTGAGATGGAGTCTCGCTCTGTCCCCCAGGCTGGAGTGCATTTGTCTGTATTTTTAGCATAGACAGGGTTTCTCCATGTTGGTCAGGCTGATCTCGAACTCCCAACTTCAGGTGATCCGCCTGCCTAGGCCTCCCAAAGTGTTGGGATTACAGGCGTGAGCCACCATGCCCAGCCTATACTCTGTTTTGAGATGGAGTCTTGCTCTGTCACCCAGGCTGGAATGCAGTGGTGGCTCACTGCAACCTCTGCCTCCTGGGTTTAAGCGATTCTCTTGCCTCAGCCTCCCGAGCAGCTGGGACTACAGGCGCACATGCGTCACCATGTACAGCTAATTTTTGTATTTTTAGTAGAGACAGGGTTTCACCATGTTGGCCAGACTGGTCTCGAACTCCTGACCTCAACCTCTCAAAAAGTGCTGGCATTACAGGCATGAGCCACTGTACCTGGCCTTGGTTACTGTCTCTCTGCCTTTGAGTCCCCACTCAGTGGCCAGGGGCCCTGTCAAAGAAGTGCCCACTTCTGGGGAAAAAAAGTGTGGTGGGGGGCTCAGAGATATCAACCACATGTATTTGTGGGGACTTTTTCTTAAACGAAATCCTGATTTGAGGCCAAGTTAGGGCCTCAAATTAGTCCGAGTCTCAAGTTAGAGGTGGCTCACACCTCTGGTCCCAGTGCTTTGGGAGGCCGAGGTGGGAGAACTGCTTGAGGTCAGGAGTTTGAGACCAGCCTGGGCGACAGGCCAAGACCCTGTCTTTTTTTTTTTCTTTTTTTGAGACAGTGTCTAGCTCTATCACCCAGGCTGGAGTGCAGTGGCGCAATCACAGCTCACTACAGTCTCAACCTCCCAAGCTCCAATAATCCTCCCACCTCAGCCTCCCAAGTAGTGGGGACTGCAGGTGCGCTCAACCACACTGGCTAATTTTTAGGTTTCATTTTGTAGAGACAAGGTTTCCTTATGTTGCCCAGGCTGGCCAGGATGGTCTTGATCTCTTGACCTCGTAATCCACCCACTTCGGCCTCCCAAACCGCTGGGATTACAGGCGTGAGCCACTGTGCCTGGCCCTATGACACTTTTGGCAGAATTAAAAGCAGGTGTCCAGGCTGGGTGCGGTGGTTCACGCCTGTAATCCCAGCACTTTGGGAGGCCAAGGCGGGTAGATCATGAGGTCAGGCAATCAAGACCATCCTAGCTAACACAGTGAAACCCCATCTCTACTAAAAATACAAAAAATTAGCTGGGTGTGGTGGCGGGTGCCTATAATCCCACCTACTTGGGAGGCTGAGGCAGGAGAATGGCGTGAACTGGGAGGTGGAGCTTGCAGTGAGCTGAGATGGCGCCACTGCACTCCAGCCTGGGCGACAGAGCGAGACTCCGTCTCTAAATAAATAAATAAATAAAAGATAAATAAATAAATAAAAGCAGGTGTCCAGCTTGGTCAGAAAGCAATGACTGACTCTGTATGAAACCTGGTGAGAGCTGGGACCTTGGGTCAGGAGGCCAAGCCCAGAGGTGGCTGTGATAGTTTCACTCACCCTCACTGTTCTTGGCAAAGTTCAGCTTGATCAGGGACCTCCCGTCCAGCTTCTGGAAGAAGCACAGTTAACAATTAATGATAATGAATAAGTAACTGATGCACAGAGATGCTGGGGTCAGACAAAGATGGGCTGGAAAAGTCTCTGACTAGCCAATCCTGTGCAGCTCTGGACAAAAGGGAAGGCCTCGGCCGGGCGCAATGGCTCACGCCTGTAATTCCAGCACTTTGGGAGGCAGAGGCGGGTGGATCACAAGGTCAGGAGATCGAGACCATCCTGGCTAACACAGTGAAACCCCATCTCTACTAAAATACAAAAAAAAAAAAAAATTAGCCAGTTGTGGTGACGGGCGCCTGTAGTCCCAGCTACTCGGGAGGCTGAGGCAGGAGAATGGCGTAAACCCAGGAGGCGGAGCTCGCAGTGAGCTGAGATCGCAGCACTGCAAGACCCTGCAAGGACCTCACAGGGGCTGTAGGATGCTGTCGGGCAGTTGTGTTTATGTGGCATCCCCACCATGCTCTGAGAAGAGCCGTCACAGGTGACCCCGAGCAGAGGACCAGGCCACAGGGTGGTGTGTGTTATACTTCTGCAGGGTTTGGACATCTTTACGGTGAGCACCGATTACTTCTAAAATTAAAAAGTGAACATATTTCTTCAGCTAGAGTGGGGGGGACACACGGTTCCACCTTATTATTCTGTTATATGAATTTTTTTTTTTTTTTTAGACGGAGTCTCTGTCACCAAGCTGGAGCACAATCTCAGCTCACTGCAACCTCCGACTCCCTGGTTCAAGTGATTCTCCTGCCTCAGCCTCCCGAGTAGCTAGGACTACAGGCACACGCCACCACACCAGGCCTCATGATCTGCCTGCCTTGGCCTCCCAAAGTGCTCTGTCATATGAATATTTAAGAAAAACAAAACACTGAAAGTGGGGAGAAAGTAAGAAATACACCCTAATGCTAAGAATGGTTGTGCTGGGAAGGTGGGACTCTCTATTTTTCTGTTTCTGGATGTTTTTTCTTTTTTCTTATTTCCTCCATCCCAGGTGGCGGGTAATGTTCTCGGTTTCCGTGGTGTGTCTGCAGTGCAGCTCTTCCACAGGAAACTCTCCCATAAAACAAAGTCTGGACAACCAGAGGCAGGAACTGCTGGGGGCGGGGCTGTGGGGAGACCCTGGAAGGGAGGCAGAGCTGTGCCGCTGGGGAGCACCTCACTCAGGGTCACAACCCAGCAGCTGATGCCACCTGGTGTGGGCTGGGACCAGCTATGCCCACCCAGGCGCAGGGGAGATGTAGGGGGAGGCTCCTGGGGCTGGGCTGTAAGCTAGCAGCAGGTCCTTGTGCTGCCCTCCCCGCCCTCCGTGGGCCCTGCCTGCTGCTGGCCAGCCCAACTGACCACATCTGCTCCTCCAACCACCTTTGTTCCTTCCTTTGTCATTCAACTACCCCCACCTCCCCACATCACTACAGGTGTGGAGGAGACCACCGGTGGGCCAGCAGGGTCCCTATTCAGACACAAGACCTGAGCAGAGAGATTCCCTGACACAACAGGCTCCTCCTGAGGCTCCAAAAGTCACATGGGCCAGCCAGCCCTTGGCCCAGGAACTCTCTTCGGAGGTTTGGCTAGCAAGGCTCTGCTGACACCCATAGGTCTGGCCAAGCAAGCCCACAGCAAGGTCCCTTCCAGAACAGGCCAAGGGAGAGGTGCAGGTACAGGATAAAGATGTGTGTGGTGCTCCTGCAGACTCACCCCAACAAAGAACAAAGAACAGCTTGCAACAAAAAAATGGTGGCACCTCCCTGATGTAAGCCCTAACAGTGTGGCTAACTGCCAGATCAGACTTTGTGGGTGCAGGGGTCAGCACAATCGACAAGTTTGGGAACCCCAAAGAGCACCTATAAAGCAAAACACCCAAAGTAGCAAAATGCACCCCAGCTGCAACCAAATGACAGCATCCACTAGGACAGCAGAGGCCACGAGGGCAGCCACGGACAGGAAAACCCCACCTCGCCACCAGGCTGCTCCCTGAGGCAGACACCCAGCCACATAGGGCATAGGCAGGCAGCAGGGACCCCTGCTGAGAAGAGCAACAGAAGATGACTTCCCAGGCTGGGGCACAGACCTTGGGGGAAGACCCTGGGATCCAACGTGGCTCCCAGCAGCAGACATCACAGAAACACAGTCTTTAAGTGACACAGACCAAGGAAGAAGAGTGCCCTCCCTAAGGAGGCAAGGCCACAAGCCCCCTACCCAAGCATCTGAAACAGAAAAGCCACAGGCTTTAGCGGCTGGTCCAAGAACACTCAAAACCAGCCCCCTGGCCAAGTTCCCCTTGTATTCGAGAGCAGGGAAGCCTTGGAGGAGCACCAACTCCATCTAGAAAGAGTCCCCAGAACCCTGCAGCCCGCAGAACATCACAAGGGCCGGAAGAGCTGAGACAACACAGATGGGCTGCCAGCTTCTCCTGCTGGCCTGGTAGGAAGGGTCATATTGTCCAGGGAGCTCCCTTCCAGCGGCTCCAGCACAGGGAGCCCCCTTGAGTCCTGACCCTCCTTCTCGCTTGCAGTTTGAGCTCTTGCCCCAGGCCACAGGAAAGAAGTGGAGGAATACATGCAAGTGTCCAACAGGAAGGGAACGGTCACTGGTAAAACACACTAGATCTCCCTCGGAACTAGGCTGCATGATGTCCCCCCGAAACTGATGCTCACTGGGAACCTGTGAATGTGGCCTGCCTTGGATATAATCAAGGGTTTATATAAGGTCTTTGCAGATAGAATCAAGTTCAGATGAGGTCATACTGGATCACAGATATGGCCCGAGAAAAGACATGCACAGGCAGGAAGCGTTTCCAGAAAGGAATGGGTGTGGGGAGAGGAGGGGAAGACTGTCCCTCCTCACTGGGTCCCATGAACGGTTCTCTCCCATGTTCCCGTGTTCATGAAAACCACCAGAACAAAAGCAGAGGTGAGAGGACAGCGCTCACCAGCATCACTGAAACTCCTGCACAGCCACCTACCTCTCCATTGCTAGGGTTGGTCCCGTACTTCTTAAGCCACGGAACAATGTTCCTGAAGGGAGAGAGAACAGAAAACATCACCAGGGTGCTTAGGCACCACCTGGTGACAACACGGTGGTCTTGCAGGGCTGCTTCCAGGTTAGAGGCCTGCGAAGGAGTCTTGCTTCACTTTAGGACAGGAAGAGCTCCTCACCTTGTCTCAGGAAGTTGGGGGTATTTGTGGATACACAGGTTTCAAAATATGTTCAGAGTTATTATTGCAGTTATATATGAACAACAAAAACTACAGGTGAAAATGAGTAAGTAAATGGTTTGGGGCTTTTTTCTTTGAGACAAGGTTTTGCCTCATCACTCAGGCTGGAGCGCAGTGTTTCAATCATGGCTCACTGCAGCCTCTAACCCCTGGGCCTCAAGCAAGTCTCCCACCTCAGCCTTCCAAGTAGCTGGGACTACAGGTGCACACCACCACGGCTGGCTAATTCTTGTACTTTTTTGTAGACACAGGTACTCACCATGTTGCCCAGGCTGGTCTCAAACTCCTGGGTTCAAGAGATCCTCCTGCCTCAGCCTCCCAAAGTGCTGGGACTACAGACATAAGCCACCACTCCCTGTCATAAATGTTGATACATCTGTACAATTAAATACTAAGCTAGCATCAAAAACTATACTTTCAAGCCAGGCACAGTGGCGTGTGCCTGAAAACTCAGCTACTCAGGAGGCTGAGGTGGAAGGGTTGCTTCAGCACAGGAATTCAAGAGTGTTGGGATTACAGGCATCAGCCACCGCCTCTACTAAAAATTTTAAAAATTAGGCCAGGAGTGGTGGCTCACACCTGTAATCCCAGCACTTTGGGAGGCCAACGTGGGTGGATAACAAGGTCAAGAAATCGAGACCATCCTGGCCAACATGGTGAAATCCTGTCTCTACTAAAAATACAAAAATTATCCAGGCGTGGTGGCACACACCTGTAGTCCCAGCTACTCAGGAGGCTGAGGCAGGAGAATCGCTTGAACCCGGGAGGCAGAGGTTGCAATGAGCCAAGACCGTGCCATCGCACTCCAGCCTGGCCTGGGTGACACAGTGAGACTCCGTCTTTAAAAAAAAAAAAAAAAAGGCCGGGCGCGGTGGCTCACGCCTGTAATCCCTGCACTTTGGGAGGCCGAGGCGGGCGGATCACGAGGTCAGGAGATCGAGACCATCCTGGCTAACACGGTGAAACCCCGTCTCTACTAAAAATACAAAAACTACTCAGGAGGCTGAGGCAGGAGAATCGCTTGAACCCGGGAGGCAGAGGTTGCAATGAGCCAAGACCGTGCCACCGCACTCCAGCCTGGGCGATAGAGTGAAGACTCCGCCTCAAAAAAAAAAAAAAAAAAAAAAGGGACTGAAACATGAAAAAAATTACAGAAGCATATGCTGGAACGCAAAACTGGGCATAATGCTTCCAAATACTGCACACAAAAGGTACATGCCATAATCATGGCTCTGCTTTCATAAAGTAAAAAATATGCAGTTCATTACCATTCTAAAACAGATCACTGTATCCAACTAGAACACTAGGACCCCCACATGGAGGGGTGTGGGGTGGTCTACCCCATTCCAGGCAGTGACAATAGCACCTGACAACTAGAGCTGCCTGCCTAGGGGTCACAGCAGCACTGCTGCCATGTCCCCAAGGCCCTAGCTGTTACTTCTGTGTCCCCAAGAGCCCTACCCAAGGGTCCCCTTCCTTAATGGGTGTTGAGAATCTCACATTTGTTAGATCGAAATTCAAGGAAAAACTCACAGCAAATCAAAGACGACGCCATCTGGAGTACAGACTGGGTAGACGAAGGGCTGCAGAGAGAGACTGAAAAAGGACAGAGTCATTACTGCTGAGTTGCCAGGCACCCTGGTCAGGATGTGGGCTGGCTGAGCCTGGCATGGTGACCTCCTGAGATGCTGTCCCAGGGAGCCCTCTCTGGGCAGCCTGGCCACTTCCCTCTCTCACCAACCTTCTCCTCCAACTACAGTAGTGGTTGTGCCACCCCTGGTGAAGGACCAGAGCAGGATCCAACACCAAGGTAAGCTCCTACCATCATGACAAGGACTTCACATCCTCTCCCAACGTGAACTGAGGAGCCACATCTTCAAAGCACACTTTTACGCATAACCCCACATCCACAAGGGGCAGATTCACTATCAGAGCATCAGAGAACAATTCCAAGGGAAAGGTAAACTCACAAAACTCTTACCTGCAGTGGTCAAAAGGTAAACGACGAAAATTTGTTTGTGGATTGTCGCAGATCTGTTTAAATGAATACAAAACCCAAGAATCTTACTCTGCAGTATTTCATCTCATGGGTAGGCTCTCACTAGCATTCCAGCTTAACAGCCGTATGAAAAGGTTCATAGGCTGGTGCGCAGGTGCCTCATGCTGTACGATCCCCAGCACTCTTGGGAGGCCAGATGGAGCGGCATCCGCCGAGTCACGAGATCAAGAGACCATGTCCTGGCAACGGTGAAACCCACGCTCCATACTACAAAACAACACATAGCCTGGCATTCGTGGCAGCATCCCCTGTCCTCGCGCCGCGCGCACGCCAGAGGAGGCAAAGACCTCTTGCAGTGCAAGCCGAGATTGCGCAACTGCACTCAGACCTTGGTGACACAGCGAATACAACTAGTCTCAAAAAAAAAAAAACGGGAAGAAAAAGGGGTTTTGTCGTAATTTTTTTAAGTAACCAGCAATTGCTGATGGGATTAAAACCTTTTAATAGAAATACTTCCACAAAAATCAAACCCAACACATTCGGCGCGTACATCGAAAGATACCTTAAGAGGAAAAAGTGCGTACTATATTTATAGTCCCTAAAACTATGAAGATGCTCTTGTTATATCGTACGTCTTTGATAGTTTTCGAACCGAGCCGCATCATTAAAAATAACAAATACTATAAATATAT